TATATATATATATATACTGTACATACATATTTTAAAAAAACGTTGCTTTAGTGAAGCCATTCAAAAATGGATAATCAAAGGTTGGCAGATTCTTAAAGTGATGCACCCGCATTTAAATACGTAGACTTGTTGCACCAAGTTCAACTTTGCATATTTCCGCCACGCATCCTGCATTCAGTAAAAGGCGAGCGGCAAGTGAATGAGATACTCACGGAGGAAGGAAAGGTGGGGGAGAAAACTCCGATAAAAGCCTTCAGCAAGAGTCGCTATCCTCGGTTTATTCTCCTCTCGATTCCGCTGTTAACACACGCGAGTCTTTTTTTCTCGCCACTTATTCCCTTTTACTCAACTTCTGAAGGTTTTGCTTTATGAAACGTCTCGAGCGGCGGTCGGAGCCAATCAGCGCAAAGCACGGTGAATATTTAAGTAGGCAGCCAATGAGGAGGCGCAGATGATGCTATGGGCGTGCCCTCAGGTGTTGACAGCGGTGTAAACGGGGATCAGCTGGGAGGAGGACGAAGACCCTCCCAGTTGAGCCAGTTTAAGCCATGTGAGGCACCATAGGCGATGTTTAACTTCTGCTCTTCACGTACACCTGAATTAGTTCTTTACGTGTCGCCGTAGAGAGTACACATATCACTCACGTGAGGATGACAACGTCACACTTAACGTGTTTTACAACCTAACTAATAATGTACCCTAAGCTGTTCACTCGCACACTATTCTTTTTAGGCTGTAGCTATTTTTATTTTTGTTTGTGGTTAGTTATTAGAGATGCATACTAAACTATTGTTAATTTAGAGAACCGTTAGCAGCTGTCTTCATGGATGGGTCCCAAAAATTAGGAACACCATCACCTGAGGTTCTGTCCACTTTCCATAGCCAATTCTGTTTTGAAAGATAAAAATGTAAGCATGTGTTTGTTGTTGTTGTTGTTGTATTTTTTATTTATTTTTTTTGCAATTTCAAAGAGTTCCAGTGGGAACAAAATGGGATGGGTTTCTGATTTATTTTTAAACCTTATTATGTAATAAGTGAGGGGAAAATTGTAAGAAACAGTAGTTTGCAAAATATATCACCCTGGGACCAGCGTTTTACTGTTGTTGCCAAGTTGCGGTGCACTTTTGCAAAAGAACGACTAAAAAAATGCATTGTTAGAAAATAGCTTTTGGAGTCATTAAATACCATTTGTACAGCGGTATCTTGATACTCGCAATTCAGCACCAGCGGATTCACCTGTTTGTTTTTCCCCCCCATTCTTTTTTGGGTTCTTTTTGTGCAAAACGCATATTGGAGGTTGTTTATCTGCGTTTTTCAATGGATTTCATGTGTTAAATCAGAAAATCCCTTGCATTTCAATGGCCGTCAATTATACCCAGATTTTTGCTAACCATGGGACAGCCTGGTTCCTACTCCTCGTGAATAACGGGCGTCCACTGTATGTTATAAATGAAAATCCTTCACATGCTTACATGTTCTAAGTGCCTTTCAGAGCACCTTGTTAAAAGACTGAGGAGGAAGTGAGTGTACAGTACAACGAATTTACTGAACATCAAAATTGCACAAAATGCAGCCACAGAATTTCACTGAAACCTTGATTCTGATTTCTTCATTCAACGTTCCTCAAGCATACCTGTCAACATAGTTATTTTCCAAATAAAAGGCAAGTTCATCCTGACATGCCATTTAAATATTTCACTGGACGGAGGTCCTCAGGTTGTGACATAGCCTGAGTTTCCGTAAATAGATCATAATTACATTCAATATTTGTATGAAAAACTCCTGAATACAGTATAAAAGAACCCAATGAAAAAGTAAGGACGGCGCTAGCTGAATGTGTCACGTGCTTTGCCATGTATTCTTGCGCCACCGGTCAAACGAATTCACTGCGTGCCATTTGTAACCTCGAAACATTGTATGTTGATGCCGCTGTAAACCCAGAACTACAGAATCTTTATATTAGCTGTTGACGAACTTTTGGGTCTCCATCGATCAGTTTCGAATCACTACACAAAGTACGACCTCCGTCGTCCACACGTTCTTAAATGAATGTTCAGTGTCATTGTCATTTTAAAAGCACATTGGTGGATCAGCTGTTATGAGATGGTGAAAGTGTACCTAATAAAGTGTCCTGTGTGTGGACTGTGCCTTAAGAGAGTGATAAATTACCCAGTGTCGTTTGGTGTGAATCAGCGATTTGAATCAAAAGTGGCATTGATCAAAAAGGAGAGATTCTATGCTGAGAGCACTTGCGGGTTTACAATTTCCAGTTGCCTTACTCTGATGTCGCGCTCCACCGAGTACAACCTGCAGAGTGTGTGTGTGTGTGTGTGTGTGTGTGTGTGTGTGTGTGTGTGTGTGTGTCACGCCGAGCGCCCTGGAAATGAGATGTTCACATCCCAAGGACGTTTCCCACCATAATTTAAAAGTGGCCGGAGCTCGAAGGCTTCAAACTGAAAGTGCTGAGGTCATAAAGCAGCGCTGCTCTTGTCTCCACTGTTATTGTGTGAGAATCTATCGGTCTAAATCCAGCGGCAGGTGGTTGTGACTCATACAATACAAACATCAAAATGTCAGTTTGATGTCACCATGCTGCGATTGGAGCAAGCTGTAAAATGGCGTTAAACACCCAAAGTCAACAGAGCTTGTACTTGTCTTTTTTACCCTCGGTATTTGTAGGTGTCAGGTCATGCAGTACACGAAAGGTTTCGAAAGAACATTAAAACTCTCCCACACAATGCCGCACATGATGATACCATCAGTTATACTAGAACCGCCAAAGTTGTTGGTCGATTTGTTTGAATTTTTTCCATCGGAAAACTCCTTTAACTGTGTTTCTCTGGTTTCCCCCCCACATTCCAAAAACATACCAGTCAGGTTCATCGAAGACTAATTTGACCTTCACTGTAAATGCAAGCGTAAACGTTTGTTTAAGTACTGTTCATGTGACTGGCGAACACCCCATGGTGTTCCCCGCCTCTCACCAAAAGTCCGCTGAGGTAGGCTACGTTCACACATCACCCTAAGGCAGAGAACCCTCAAATCTCCGCCGTGACTATAAATCATACAATTTGCCTATGAAGTTGTTATACCTAGACTTCTTTATAATATTTTCGAAGGATCGTTAAAAGCCAACAAAAGCAAACGTCCTTGGATCAGTTCTTCACAAAACGCCAGGCAAAAACCACTTCTGAGAGAGAACATGAACTAATGAGGGCAAAAAAAAAAAAAAAAAACGATGACGCAGTTAAAAGTTAATGACCATCATTTTTATTCTTTATTCTATTTTTTGGGGGGGTTTTCACATGATGCACAATCTCGTTTATTGTGCAATAATGTAATTGTAACATGTAGTTGTTACATATTTTGATGGATTTTTATGCTTTAGGAAATATTTATGTCTGAATTTTGGGGTGCTTGGAACAGATTAGGGCATTTACATGGAAAACACGTCCCTCCTTACAAAGTTTTCTAGTTAAGAAATTTCTTCCAGAACACATTAATTTCGTAAGTAAAGGTAACACTGTATATCAACTTAGAACAAAAAGTAAATTTATTAACATGTGTTATAGTCTGTCAAAGAACACATGTGGAGTGCATCAATTTCCCTGAAATTAAAAAATATGAAATGAAAAAAAAAAAGATGAAAGAGCCACTGCCACCTACAGTTGTGAATGTGTAATTCCACTTTATTTTTATATGGCCCAAAGAAAACAAAAAAAACAAAAACATGTTCCCCAGGTCAAATGTGCCCCCTCCCTGAGGAAAGTCCCTCTAAGGACTGCCATAAAGGCATTATTATAAACCATCAAAACAACAAAAGACTTGTGCTTATTGGCTCTGACCGCTTTGGATCGGAGTCCTTTTAACATGCCCCGTTGGGACTGGCCCTTCTTGTGGTATCGTGTCTCCCAAAAAAAATCCCAAGAAAAAGAGAATTTCTGAAGTATGCCGAGGTGACTGATAATGTGATGCTACACATGGCTGATGTTTGTGCAACCACCCTGGGATCTCTTTTAGTGACTTTTAATTTCTAATTGAGCTGCTGTCCGTTTCTACATATGTATTTAACCTTTTTTTTAAATCCAGATAAAACATTAACAACAATATCCTATATATTATGTTGATCGGGTCTGCCCTGCAACTGACTGGCGACTAATCCAGGTTACTGTATGCCTTCCAGTCAGCTGCGATAGACTGCAGGCAGCTTTGCTGTGACCCTGGAACAGGATGAGCGCTAAAAAAAACAGATGGATGGCTCTTTCGTCTCTTTATTGGACTATAATGGACATCCCTCAGCACTGGACACAAGCCAGTGACAGCACTAAGTGTGACTATCAGGCACGGAGTAGGTTGTATTGCTTCCCTGGAGGGAGGGATGCTGAGACAAGACAGGATGTTGCGCTTTGTGACCGTCTGACTTATTCACTTTCCGCCGCCACCTCCCATTCCGGTTGTGGCCCACTCTCTGATCCTAAAGTAGAGCTTCTTGGACTGAAGATGAGGGATGAATAAGGGTCAACAGAAGCGAGGTAAATGGGGAGGTGTTGGCCTCCTGCACCGCTCTCCTCCTTGAAAATGTGTAGCAGCTTGAGGAATACCCTCCGCTGCGCATGGAGGGCGGGGGGTGGGGGTATGACTCTCCTTTTATCGTTAGGCTTCAGTAATGGTCCCCACGCCACACGTTCCCCTGGCAGGGTTGCCTGGCGTTCACTCTCCTGACTAACAGGCATGCTGGTTCGCCTCAGTGCAGATCGACCGTGACGTTCCTACAGCGGTAGCTCTACCTCCTTGTTAGCGGAGGCGACTGCTACCCAGAGCGGGAGCTTCCTTCTCGGCAGCAGGGATTGCGTTCTGAAATACACATACCAGCCGCTATATTTGGCCGATCGATACATTGGTGGGGTTGAAAGTGCTACCCAAGACCCACCCCCAGGGTGAAATAAAGTATCTTGTTGGGATTATGGCAGGTATTCGCTAAACATTGTGGACAGATATAAAATGTTTGCCAATCCGGATAAAGGTAATGATTACTAATATCGCATTAGTGATCGGCTACAGCAAATTCTGATCATTTCTTTTCCTGCTTTGGTGAGCGGCCTTCCCTGAATATGTAACAAAGTACCGATGCCAGTTGTCACTTGGATCCCCTGACCTTCTAATGCGTGCTGGACATATCAGTTGACTCCGATTTAAATGCTGAATTTAAAACGCCTCAAGTGATGTAAGACGCCTCCCGTGTAATTTACCATCTCCACTTGAGCGTCTCCAAATATAATATCTGAACAATTTCCGTGCATGTTACGCAACCTAATGCAGATGAGCACTTGTTTTCCCCCCCATAGGTTTTTTTTTCTTCTTAATTCTCAGTTGTATCTCATGTTCTGTATATACATAGAAAAAAAAAAAGAACATTTGATTTTCCGAGTGGATGAGCTCCAGTTCGCATCTTTGAACCTGTGCAGCGAGGGCCGCCTCTACTTGAGCCTCCAGGGGTGCGAGCGCATGTGTTGCAGCGTGCGTTTGTGTGACTGCTGCACTTGAATACACACACACACACACACACACACACACACACACACACACACACACACACACATGCTTAAATATAGATTCAGCCAACAGGGTCCTCAATAGATCAGACTTCCCCTGACAGTTCTCTTAAATGTCCTTGGCAGCGCCCCTTCCCCAACCCCATTCCCGCACACCTTTTCCACTCTGCCCCACGCGATGCCGCAATATTTTTCGTCCAGAAGGCTCCCATCACCGCCGTGCACTGTAATGCATGACACAATCTCCGTATATCCCATAAGGTGTCACTTAGCCAAAGAGCCCACTCCTGCACACTCTACTCGGAATGGCGTTGCAGAGGCTTGAAGAACGATGAACACATCCAATTGTTAGCCGGAAAACGTCATTATTTGCATCGTACCGTTGCTAGAGTAACAATTTTCTTCATCCCAAAGCAACAACTCATCCGCCGGAGTCGGACGTCTTCACCCGACTTTGAAGGATAGCACCAATAAAACATTGTTTTCGCAATCCCTGACAAATATAACACACTCCCCACATTACTATCAATCAAGTTTTTTTTTTAATTTAATGTATGAATATGTGATTTATCTCGCCCGTGCCGACGTTGTAAATCTATTTTGCGTGGAGAGGCGAGCTCGGAGCGCTGATGTTTCCTTATTGATTGGCTGGCTTAATGGTGTTTGTTCTTTATAGCTGATCTCAGGAAATAAAGCAAATAAATAGCTGCGAACGAGCGCGGTTGTTGTGATACCGTGAAGGGGAGATGACAGTAGGAAAAAAAATGCTGTGGTGGGGGGGGAGCAGGAAATACAGAAATGCGTTTGATTGATGGAGGAAGGCAATACATCACGAGAATCAATTCCCTTTCATATTTGCAGATTTGACTGTGGAATCAGGACGCGGCGTCGCATTATGTTTGCATCACTGGATGTGGCATCGCAAGTGAAGTCCAAGCTGCCTCCGGGTATCACTGTCGTGTTCTCCATGTTAACCTCGATTGACAACCTGCCACAAGTACAAGTGCACGTCCACATGTTGTCAGCTAATGCTGAGTGACGGGCCTTCATTTGCTTTCAGACTATTCGGATAATTCGCCGAGGATTTTGTTCAATGGATTTGAAAAGTTGACCTTTGGAGAATGGATGGATGGATGAAATGTGTCAGGTTAGGGGGGAAAGAAAGTACTTTTTGGTGAAACGCTTTGCAATCAAACGACGACAGTGGGACCTCCGGATCGAATGCCTCTTAGGTACAATCGAAGGGAAATGTTCGAGGAAAAATAGAAGTTCTTCAAATCGGGCGTGCAGCTCTTCAAACTTCAGCTCGCTAAGACAGCGGTTTCCTTTTTCTTTGTGTGTTTTGCGTTGCCAAATCAAGAAGACGACTGGCAAAAAAATGTGATGAGAAAGAACATTAAAGAGAACTCGTTCTGACTTCTGTCCTCGCTGCTCCAATATGGCGAACCCGTCAATAAATCAGCAATTAAAATAAACGAAGAAGATATGTCAATTCAAATGTTTACATTTAGCCTAGCATGATCAAAATCAACAGCATTATTTCTTTTTTATTTTGGGGGGGGGGGTATTCACAGTGGTGGACTCATAATTGGTACCGTTTCCAGTTTCAAATCTGAGCTCCTGTGTGGAGTTGACGTGTTTCTTCGTATTTCTCTTATTTCATATAGAAAAAAGTGTTTCTTGATTGTTTATCTGAACTTGCTGTAAGAACTTCATATCAGGTCACTCTGTTTTTTGTTTTGTTTTGTGAATTCTCTCTTAGAGGAGGAGAGTGGGGTATCAATCCAATGCATTAGGACTCGGGTCTCTTTAATGACAGTCGCCGCCTCCTGGCTGATGTAAAGCAAACTTGTGCTTTTGGGAGATGAAGAAGCCTGTCCAGCCACCTCAGGCCAGTCACCCTCCCCCTGTGATTCTCCACCTCTAATAGCAAAATCGATTCAAAAATGAGGGACGAGGGGAAACAAGGGAGGAAATAAAGTGTCCTTCTCCGGTGAAAGGATACCGAAAGGGCAGACTTGTTTGAAAAACATTTGACATCACTCCACTTTTTTTTTTTTTTGTTCTTAGCTTACTCACCCGACATTTCATTAGGCACACCTGCGCAATCAATTGAGCTAAATAAAGTAGCTAATCTATTAGCATATTATTATGATGCAATTCAGATCTTTTGTGCTTCAAACTTTCATCATATATGGATCCCGAGTTATTTTATTTATCTGACGTGGAAGGCTTTTCACGTTCCTTCAAGTGTTGTTAAATTCACGGCGCAATGTGTTTCAGCATCCACACGTGTGAATGTCGATGGCTGTTTGTCCCTTTGTACTCTGCAATTAGCTGGCACCCGATCCAGAGTGGGAAAGGCTCCAACTCACTTGCAATCACGTTCGATAGCCACTAAACCTTTCTGTAGTTGCTGAATGCTAATAAGTCTTCCAATAAGCGTCACCTCATCTCCATGTCAACATGCTGTTGACGGGAATAATGACCACATTTCATCGAATCAGCCCCTCGTATTGAGCTCAGGCTACGACATCTGCAAAACCGGTCCGAGTCATTGGGTGTTACATTACACGGGCACTAATAACCGTGACTTTGCAATATCTTAGCTAATAGATCCAAATCTTCTCCATTAACTTCATAAGGATTTTTGTCGAGTGAAAAGTGCACAGCAGCTTGTTTAAAATATCATCTCACAGCCGTCTCGTCAACCCTTAAGTACCGCAGCTTCCATCCTTCGTCGTCGCATTCCTGTTGTTCTCTCCTCAGGTAATCAGCCGTTCCCCCTGCAAGGTAATTTCTGCTCAGGCGCGAATGTGGCCGACGCCGCGGAAATTCATTTTTTGCTTTAATTTCAGGCCCATTGATCGAGGAGCGCTGTACGGGCGCATGACATCCATAATCACAACATTGCTGTGACAGTGCGTATAAATAATGTCGAAGGATGTAAGAATAATAAAAATAAAAAGGGGGAAAAAAAGGAGGGGGAAGGAGGAGCTAGACTGCACTCAATATTAATTAATCCCAACCCCTCCCCTTCAGAGGCCATACATTATTTTTCTTCTCAAACTTCTCTGAAATCTGTTTGTTTAAGCATCCATTAAAGACTAGGCATTGCCTCAACACTAATTACCCAGCCTATTGTATATCTCTAATTTGGATGATTAGTGGAGTGGAGCAAAGTATAGAGACCATAGGGCAGGGGTGTCAAATTCATTTTTGTCGCGGGCCACATTGTCATTACGGTTTCCCTTGGAGCGCCTTTATGAATTTTGGCAAACCATATAAATGTTTAATCCCCTCCACATATTACATACACAGCGCACAACAAATTGATGACTCACTCATTTTAAAATCAAAAGTCAAGAATAATCGCTGTTATTGCGGATTATATAGGACAGTTTGAAATTTTGGTGCAGACTTTAGCAAGCATCATGGAACTTGACATCATGATTTGCTTTCGCGGGCCACATAAAATGATGTGGCGGGCCAGATCTGGCCACCGGGCCTTGACTTTGACACCTGTGCCATAGAAGGGTCACTGTTTGAATGTGAACTTTTGCTTGTAAAAATACTGTAAGGCTGCTAAATTTACGGCAACAGTGGATGAATAATGAAAAACAAATGGCGTCAGCAAATATTTCAGAATCTGAACCGTAGAACATCTCATGTCAACAACACTTATCGACATATAATGAATCACAATAATACAATACAATGAAAGACTTTGGGGTCCTATTTTCATGCCCAGCACAAGTGTAGTGCTTGAATTTTTTTTTTCTAATGGTATTTTCGTAGAAGCCCGCAATTTGAAACGGGCGTGTGCGCCAATGTGGGCGTGAAGACACCCGACTTGCTTCCCGACCAATGGAAGCGGATCCTCTCGTTCCCTTTCAGCGCGGGAGAGACGCGCGATCTCCATGGTGCAAGGATAAACTTACTCACGCGATGGAGATCAATACTTGCAAAGTACATGTACAAGGAACTGCAAGATCTCCATTTGCGGTAGATGTAAAATTGGCCGCTGTGAAGTGGGCGATCGACCCCCCGATCGTCCGTCCGTCTATCCCGCCCTGCCTCCGTGTCTCACTAAAGGTGTATGCTTACTGTTATGGATTAAATGCCGAGGTCAATATCTGCACTATGTTAGAATGCCCATGTCAATAAAAGTACCTTTACAGTGTGCTTCGCAGACACGCAACTGTTTGATTGATGCACACCTTTTAGGAAGACTCACGCACATCTCCAGCATTTCTCTTTCGTAAGCATGACGGCACCCTTTTAAGATTTAGATACTCGGGACCGGCGTGGGCCAAACATTAGCACATGCTTTGTTTCATCTCCAGCCCTGTGCTTCAACAACCCGAAGAGAAGAACTGGAACCTCGGTTCAAAGGAGATATGACAAAGTGCAGTGCAACATGTGACCTTTTTTTTTTTTTTTTTTTGCTTGCTGCGTGTTAAATAATAAGGGAAGTGCACTAGGGTGTAAAGCACGGGAGCCTGTTTGGAATGTGTGTTTGTGTGTGTGTGTGTGTGTGTTGACAGTTCCTGCTTGTACAGCCACTCTCACGTTGCACGAAGGCAAGAAATGAAACGTTCTCCATGGTGACGCACAGGAAAATGAATATTTAAACATTACAACCTGTTTGAGAACATGTAAGAATTCAAACAATAAATAAAAATGAAATATGAAATAATTAAATAGGGGCTTTTTTTGTTGTAGAGGATGATGACCTTTCTGTTGTTTCCGTTTTGGTTAATCTTTAAAGGGTTGGGGGGGGCGGGGTTCTTTTCATTAATTATTTCAGTTATCAACCATTGTTGAGAATCCAAATGGCAAAATTAGAAATGTCAAATCTTCACTCCCCATCTTTTCATAATGAGCTACAATAAAGAAATAGATATCAGCCGACTCATCAGTCCAGCTTGCATCCCACTCTTCAGGTCACCCGCGATATCCAAATGAGGGCAAGTGTTCTTAAAAAAAATTTTTTTTTAAAAAGGGATGTTTAAAATCATTTTCTTGTAATGGATAGAATTAGTATGTGCAAGTTTACCGGATGATGTGCCACTTCACGATAACACGGTCGCCTCCTGAAGAGCTTTTTGCCTTCTTTTCATTCAAGTAGGAGCAAAGGATTCTCAAAATGCATGTCGACCGTAGTAAGATAACGAGTGAAGCATTCTCCGAGGCTCCTCACATACAGTAAGTCATCAACGTTAATTGTTTTTTTTGGGGTTTTTTTGTATGTGCATCAACAGCCATTCTGCTGTGTCGTTCCGGAAAGCGAGTGACCCTGTCGTGGACATGTTGAGCCAAGCAGCCTCTTCTTATCTGTATGTCCTTGGAGTGCAAGCCCATTGATATGCTATCTTCTTGCCAAGATGCTTCCAATTATGCGAGCCGCTGAAGTGAGGTGGAGCGTGCTTTTTTCCCCCCATACAATAGAAAGTGCTCTATTGGTTAATGTGATTTTTTTTTTTTTTTAATACCCCCCTGGGCAGGAATGGCCGGTAGATCCAGAGCGGACTTCCCACTTTTCCCACAGTGTCGTGACAGATCAATTTAGTACAAGGCTCATCACTGGGGACTGAGTTCTGGCGCCGATTAAAGCCGGCACCTCAATACATCACATGAGGGGAATTCGGCTGTGACATGACTTCCTGTGTTATAAATCCTTCCATGGGAGCGTGCTGTCTCTTCTCGGGGAGATGAGCACTCGGGGAGGACAGGCGGCAAAGGGAATTGGCAAGTTGAGGTGAAAGAGGAAAAAAATGTTTCGCTAACTCTACAGTAACTTGACTCAGTTGCAGCAAATGCTAATTACGTGCAGGCAAATATTAAAGGCATTCATTTATCCCAGTTTTAAAGGAACCCCCTGACCATTTTCCTCCAGTTCTGCCCGGAGAGCATGTCCACATGCTGGTAAACGCCACTCCATTTAGCTAATTCTCCTCTTTTCCAGAAGAGGGCAGCACATCTTAATGCAACCCAACCAAACTCTCTACTGTCTTCTGAAACTCTTCTGTCTGATTTCTTGCAGAGAAAAAAACAAACAGAACAAAACAGACAGGTCATTATCATGGGGACTTTCTCAAAAAGAGTCACCCATGCATGCGCTCAGCCCTCTAATTAAATCATGCCCCTCTTCACTTTTTCTAAAAAGAAACTATTTGGGCTCAAATAAATCACGCTGTGATTTATGACATAACATCATTGACTGCACAATTGTCACACTTCCTCTTGTCATCCTCATCGTGTATCCCTTCTTACTATTCGTCTTCTTCTCTGCTCCATTTCACTCTTTGCTCTCTTTTTTTTTTGTGTCCCCCTCTTTCTCCACCACTTTGCTGCTGCTCCACCCTGTAATCACGCCGTTTCGTGGCTCCCATTTGGGCTGGTATATATAGCAGTAATTGTCAGGGTGTAGTAAGGGGACTGGGCAGCGCGTGTGTACACTCTTAAAAGAATGTTTGTCGCGAACCTTGTTGATGGGGTTCGTAGTTGGCCGGGGTACCGCAGGCACACTGACAAAGGTATTTTGTCTTCGAGGCAAACAATGTACACGTCCTGTAAGGCAAGAATTCTTATCAGGAACCATTTAACATTTCCCTCCACTCACTACAACAGAAATTTCTATATGGACGCACGAATGCCTTAATCCCATACCTGCTCTTGTCGGGCTTGATTTATATAAGGCATGCGCATGCACAAATGGGCGTAAATGCAAATTTGATTTAACATCTATCCAGATGTCGCAGCTGATCTACTAACTGGATGTAACCATGAGAGCGTTTGTCAAATGCGCTAAATTGCAGTGGATTTTGCAATTGTGTGTCATGTGCGTGGCGTATCTGCAAATTGATTAATTTAGCGCGCGCATTGTTCCACTGGCTGATTTTGAGAGGCGGCAGTCAGTC